GAGGTCGGATCGACGAAGACGCTGCTGAATGAAACAAGATTTGCGGATCGATGGAGTTTTGAGAGGAACTCTGTCGACAGAAGAGAGGTAGATCCGGATCCGGATCTAGAAAGAGAAACCTCTCTATCCTCCCCAGGTCCTCTCGGGAACCCCTGCGGATCTTGACGCAAGTCAAGATCCGCTAACAAAACAAGGGAAAGTGAAGGCGAAACGGTATGCATTTGCAGATTCACCGGTTAAGCCAACTCCGTACCTAAACCCAACCCCGCTAGTCGAAGAAACAAGAAAGAAGACGAAAACGAGTAAGACTACGCGGAAGAAGATGCAAGCTCCAGAGTCGGAAAAAGACCAAGCTGGATCCAGGTCAAGCTGGTCCGACAAGGATCTCGAGTTTGTGTATCGCCACCAAGCTCTACGCGACTTCCTGCATCAAGATCCTGTCATGCAGATCCTGAATCCACGACAGATCGACGATCCAAGGGAACCGGTGAGAGCACCAACGAAAACGGCGAACAAGCTGGTGGCAGTCAAAGATCTATTACGTTTGCTTACGGAGTCAGGTATCGTAGCTGGTGTGTTCGACGCAGAGGATATCTTCGGCTAGACCTGGGATCATAGTATCCGCGACGCGGGACCTCTTTGCCAGAGTTAAGTCCATCACCGGAGAAAGGTCGCGCACTATGGATCCAGTGTCGTCGCCGAGGATCAGCCAAGCTGCTACGAATCCGCCGCTGAGAATGAGTCAGACACGTCGTCCGAACCACGGCGCATGACTTTAGGACCCTCCGGGGCATCCATGCTGGAAGCGTGGGCGAGGAGCCGAGGACAGGAAGTCCCTGTGAGCGCGAAGGCTCGGGATCCAGTAGGCCCCACGCGTGATCTGACACATTCCGGCCACGATCGAGCCAGATCCGACAAGAAGCCAGTGGGATTATCGTCAGATCGGGCTCAAGGTAATCGCCTCACGGATCCGGTCTCGCCAGTGGACCAGACGGCCACAGGCTCTTCCGACACTTCCTCGGGCACCCTGCAGCGACACTTCGAAGCTGCGATGAGTCG